CACAATCAAATTGCCTTATCACAAATCTAGAAAGTTGCAGCATAATAATGTGTCACCTTTAATGGCAAGAAAGCTGAATTTATATAATGAAAGGGTATTAACATTTGGAAGATCTGATAACTTAAGCTACTGCTATGGACCCAAAGGTATATTTCGATACAGAAAACAGTTATATAATGATATTTGTAAAGCAAACTTTTTTGGGTGGACATAGACAAATGTCCAATTGGGAGCATCGATCACTTTTGCTGTTTAAATTCACTGTGGTTATGTTTTCAGTTTGGATGTGGCAGTTATGTGGTTAAAGTCTGTCCTCTGTTCCTATTATAAAGGGAGTGAACAGTGTAATAATGATTGCCTTACATGATCAAAAGCGTTTGGTGATATATCTTTATACAACTGAGGTGTGTGGTAGAAATGACACTAGAAATCAGTTGCTTGCTTTTATTGGCTAAATAACAGTCAAGGGCCTATTAACACAAGCCCGTAAGCCTGGACAGCCTTCATTCACCTACATGGATGAATACATCTATAATTCAGACACCTCAGGAATGAATAAAGTCAAGGGGCATCAGCACTCATAGGAACATATTCCTGGTTGTTTTTTGGCTGTATATATAAATTCATGCCTGTGTTATCCTAGAGCATGTTTGAATAAAAAGAAAAGATTAATGGAGGCTGCCATAGCTGGTTTAAATCCTACCAGGGATTGGCAGAATGGCAGCTTGCATTTATAGACAGCTTATCAGCTCTTGTGAATGAGCACCAAATAAATAGTGCTGAGTAAAACTCCTTTATATCTCTTAAAACACCTTCTCTTGTGCACTGAAATGTTCTTGTGTATCTTCAAATGTAAACTGTCCTACATCTTATCTTCTGGGCTGCTCAATACAGCTAAGATAACTGATAGGCCTATGCCTTATCTTCTTAGATACTGCATACATACAGTCTAGCAGCAAACATACTCACAGCATGTTGTCATGGATCCTGTGCTACAGATCAATGCATAACACAATTGTCATAAGCCAAATACACATTTAACTCTGAGACATTGCAGCTAAACTTCCTCCTTTATTAAACGTATCTCAGATGTAAACATTTACCATGACTTTTTTTGCAAAGCATTTTAGTCATACAAAGAGGGAGCGTATTTATAAATGGTGAAATTTCACATTCATCCCAGATTCAGCATACATTCACTTCCAAATCGTAAGATAAACAAAAAGTTACTAAAACCACATTCTGCCTAAATCATTACCCTCTTAGAGGTTAAACAGCCACACACATAAAGATTTTGAGGCTGGATCTCAGGTGAGACATACGCTTCCATTACGGACCTCAGGTGAGACATACAATCACATGGGCCTTTTTATTAGGTACACCTTGCTAGTACTGGGTTGGATCTCCTTTTGCCTTCAAAACTGCCTTAATTCTTTGTGAAATAGATTCAACAAGGTGTTGGAAACATTTCTCAGAAATGTTGGTCCATATTGACATGAGCTACTGTTGCCTTTCTATCATCTCGAACCAATTTACCCATTCTCCACTGACCCCTGACATCAACAAGGCATTTGCGTCCACACAATTGCCGCTCACTACATATTTTCTCTTTTTCGGACCATTCTGTGTAAACCCTAGAAATGGTTGTGCGTGAAAATCCCAGTAGATCAGCAGTTATTAAAATAGACCAGCCTGTCTGGCACCAACAACAATGCCACGTTCATAGTCACTTAAACCTCCTTTCTTTCCTATTCTGATGCTCAGTTTGAACTTCACCAAGTCGTCTTCATCACGTCTAGATTCCTAAATGCTCCGAGTTACTGCCATGTAATTGGCTGATTAGCAATTTGTGTTACCAAGCAATTTAACAGGTGTACCTAATAAAGTGGCCAAAGCGTGTACACATCCATTATATATCCCAGGTAAGGCATACACATTTATTTAGGACATACACATTCATTACGCCATATATTCCATCTATTCAGTATGCCACAGTTCTCAGACAAAAAAGTTATTGTTAAAAATACCTTAAAGATGACAATCGTGTTCTGCAAATGAGGTCCAACCCCAAAAGTTTATTGGTAATAATCAAAGATAAAGTTCAAGGGAGCTTCTTTAAAAATACAAATAAAGCTAGCATTCGACATGTTGTAGACACTATTGTCATCTTACCGTATTATACAATAACAAATCTTGAACCTAATTAAATACGGTATATTAAAAACATTCTTCCCCTGATGAAGATTTGCCAAGATCTGAAGGTTAGAAATAACATTTTCCATTCCCGGACTTTCTAACATTAGCCACTGCGGACTGGCAATTCCACATTTCATTTATCTAGGCATACATTTGCTGTACAGTTGACAGATATTTTGAATTTCACCAATTCATATTGCTTCTGCAGACATTTGCCATTTGCAACAATGCTGCCAGTGAATGAATATGAATCTTGGATTGTGAATGTGTCAAGATTCTACAAATTTTTAAGTGATCTTTAAAGTGATACAACTCATTTTAGTAGTGGATGGATTAGACCAGTGTTTCTTAATCTCTTTTTAGTCATGGCACTCTTTAATATTATGCACAATCTCGAGACACCCCTGTATAAAATATTAAAAACTACACTAATAGTTTTACATATCACAGGATCATCCAAACACATAGGATACCAAACATTAAAGATGGTTTATTCGTACATAGAAAATATACCTTTGCATACTGGTAATGGCCAGTATTTTCATTTAGTTTCTCTCCCTCACTCAGCTAACATGACCCCAGTGCTGATGGAAAAGGGGAAAGTAGGGACAAACAAGTATGCTATGCAAAACCCAACATCCTCTTTATCAACCAATGACATTATTTGTTTTTTTTAGGATACCAGCGGTTGGCCTACACAGTGCTGAAGGTTGTAATGCTGAATAATGAAAACCCAGAAGGCACCCCAGAGTGCCACGGCACCCTGATTGAAAAAGGTTGGTTTAGACCAGGAATAACAAGAACAGTAAAGGAATAACTTGATGCCAGCCACAGCAGAATTTTTCCAGCACAGTAAAAAACTTCTCTGAAATTACAAAACATTCTTGCTGCTGCAGAGGTAGGTTTCAGCCTGCACTTCTGAGTGTCAGGTGGCTGCTATCTCTCCATTACAGGCTGGTCCTCTGCATACAGGCCTATAGACTGTGATGAACTGCTCCCTGTCCATGTAGGCTGTAGATAACATATTTGCCACTGGCTGTTACACGTTTTGTCAAAGGACTATTGTAAGTGTAATATAATTTTTTCATATTATTAAAAAGTTTATGCACTTAATGAATTTGTTTTGTGTGCCCTGCTGGTTCTTATAATCTAACCAGTTGTAAAGTAGTTTGTAAATTATGTCTCTGTGCCAAAATTCTAATGATCAGCCATTTGAAACTCCTGCTCACTTAGATATGCTTCCGTGTTACTATACGGCAAGTGTAGCTCCAGAGGCTTCAAGAAATCTATTGTCCTGACACCTAGCAGTAGGATATTGAAGTTCAGCAGATGGGGCCAGCAAGAGGGCCAAGACTGAGACTTACCAACTACTGCTGAGCTGAAAAGTGCAGCAATGTTAAGGTAATTTTTTTATACTATAATAACCTGCATCATAGTGAGTGATTATTAGAAATTCTCCCCCTGAATGTTAGTATGTCCTGCCATTAAATTAAGCCATAGACTTATTGTCATACTAGGTACTGCGGCATGCAATATTTATATGTTTATAGTATAAAGGGCCATAAGACGCAGCATTAACATTGAAAACTGCCAAAAAGCCATTAGGTTTGGTTCTACATTCTGACACATGACAGAGGAAAAACTAGAACACAACTGAAGAAAAAAAAATAAGCCTAGATAATAAAAAATGGTTGCAAAACTGGTGCATTTGCCAGCACAACCAACAGCTTTCATCATTTAAAGAAATAATGAATTTGACTGGTTGCTTTAAACCACTACCTCGCTTTTCATTTTACCAGACCTGTAAAGCAGCCCCTATTTCTCATATGTATGTAGCATTGACATGACATTACGATGCAAAATACAGGGTACGTAGAATCCCTGAAGACAACTAACCTACAAATATATTTTTAACACTGCTGAAGAGACCCACAAACATGGAGAACATACAAGTGTTATGCAGTTAGCATTCTCATTGGGATTCAAACCCTTGACCCTGAACTGGAAAACATGTTCGTCCTTCATTGACAGCATCTTCCAGCAATAAGTTAACAAGTATAAAAATCTATGGATATGTCTGTATGTGTGGAAGGCTTTTACATTGATTAAGACTTCCTCATATGTTTTTAAATTTTCCATTCTAATTGATAATTAGTGGAGGGGGGGACAAATACCATAATTTCAACTTGCAAGATAAATGCAAAGCTGATTTCAACATAGGTTATGTTAAAGAATTAGAAACCCATATAAATGTATATGTGCAGTAAGTGGAAAGCCAACTCTGTATATTTGCCTTAAAGTAAATCTGCCATGAGAGAATAAAGGAGGCTGATATTAATTCATTGTCCCTTTGAGAATACCAATTTCTTGACTGTCATGCTAATGCCTTGGCCTCAATTCTTTTTTAGTCACTGATATGAGACAAGAAGGGATAAGGAAGTTTTACATTCATTTTCAGCATGCATGTCAGATACACCAAGGTATCTAGTATTTTCAGATGCATGCCAGCAGTAGCAGCCCCCCTGCTTCCCTTTTGCTAGAACAATTTTAATGGTAAATTTTACTTGAATAAAAAATGTTAAATTAGATACTGTGAAAGTGATGGTGATTTTGAATATTTTTAAACAATAAAATTAATTTTTTTTCTAAAATATAAAAGATAACAAATATTTGAAGTATTTATAAGCCAGCATGCCTAACTGAGAATTGACATGGAATTACCATGACAGGTATATACAGGTGCCATTGTATATGTGAAATATGTTCTTTCATATACAAAGGCATAAAAAGGTTTGCTGTCTTACCTGGAGCTTCTTTCTTTCTCTTCATGGTGCGGACTTGCTGGGGCAGGGTGTGCTGCTTCTTCCAAAGAGTGATGGTGTTTTCTAAAACCATCCATTTTTATTGACGCTGCTGGTTCCTTCTACTGCTTCAACTGCTAGACACAGTCATTTCAAAATAAGCTTAATTTTGAATAAGGAGTGTCTTGCAACACTTGTCTTCCCGCCCAAAATGTCTTATCAACCCTGACCATTACAGAATGCTAATAAAGATTTCTTATCACAGGCTAAATAGGTGTGTGTGCCTCACAACTTGGATAGGTTTTTGGGCATTCGGACAAAAACTCAGCTTACTGACAAATTTTGCCAACAGCATATTATGTTTACTTATTTCTTTATAAAACATTTGTACCTTATTAAAACTCCTATTTTTTAAACAGAGAGAGATGCATTTTAACCATGCATCTTTGCCTTCCAGCTAGACCTCTCCGAAACAAAATCTATTTTGGTGTCATTTCAGGATATCCTTTTATTGGTAATTTAGGACCGTGGTTATTTTCACATTGTCTGGATTGATTTAAAGTCTTCAAATGGTAAAGGGTAGGCCTTCCCCAAAACCCATATCTGTTATAGAAGGAATCTCTTGGGCTGGACTACCTACAGGCTTTTAATGTCTCTTACATTAACCACTTGCTCTCCAGAGGATTTACCCCCCTTCCTGACCAGGCCATTTTTTGCAGTACGGCGATGCGTTACTTTAACTGACAATTGCAAGATCATGCAACGCTGCACCAAAATGAAATTTAGCCCTTTTTTCCCATGAATTGAGCTTTCTTTTGGTGGTATTTGATCGCCTGTGCATTTTTTATTTTTTGTGCTATAAAATAAAGACTGACAATTTTGAGAAAAAAAAACAATATTTTTGACTTTTTGCTATTAAACATGTCCAGTAAAAAAATTAAAAAAAATCAAATTTCATCATAAATTTAGGACAAAATGTATTCTGTTACATGTCTTTGCTAAAAAAATCCCAATATGTGTAAATTAATTGGTTTATGTAAAAGTTATAGCGTTTACAAATGGGGGTATAGATACTGGGATTTTTTTTTTTAATTTTTACTAATAACGACTGCGATCAGCGACTTATAGCAGGACTGTGGGACTGCGGGACTTCGGTGGCCATTCTGACACTGACATCCCCAGTGACACCAATGCAGTGATCAGTGCTAATAAAAAGCAACATTGACACTGTAATGGCACTGGGTAGGAAGGGGTTAACATGTGGGACGATCAAAGGGTTAACTGTGTGCTGTTTTACTAGGGGCTGCGTGTCAATGCTTCACTGTAAGCACATTGCTTTACATGGCATGTAAAGCAGTGTGCACAAGCTGACAGGCAGGAGAACTGTTTTGTTTACTAAAATTCCCCCCCCCGTCGGACATGTTCGGCAATAACCGCTGGTCGGCGAGTAATCACAAAAATAGAGATAATCCTCCTGCGCTTAAAATGGAGCCCTAACCCAAAAGCTGCTGACACTAACCTTATACCCAATAAGTAAAATGACAAATATACCACAGTGTAGCGCTAAATAATAATATATGCTAAACATAAATAATACGTAAATGTGACTCAATCACTCTAAACAACACACTATAATCGATACAAATTAATGCAATACGTGACTTCCCTCTAAGGGGGCATAACAAGTGCAAGCGATGTACAGTGTCATATAATAAATAGTGAATAACACACCAAAAATAAAATAAAAATAAATCCGTAAAAAAATCATATATACATAATGTGTAAGTCCACAAACAATATATAATGATGGTGCTCCAACTTGACTCGCATGCAAGTGACAATGTGTAGGTGACCAACACGTTTCACCTGTATTTGTTTGAAGGTCTCCATGGTTGAAGAGCTCCAGATAGAATGTGGTAAGAATTCCAGGAAAAGGGGAAGGCAAATGAGGCTCCTGAATAAAACAACATGAATGGGCATCAAAGGAATATACGAGAGAAATCCATATGCAGAACAATTGTTGCTCATTTGAAAATTGAGTAACAATAAAGTGTAGCGCAACAGACTAATACTGTATCTCATATAAAAATAAATAATAAACAATAATTAAAGTCCCATGAAAAAGTTTCTTATTAGACCACTGTGCAATGTGTATAAGATAAATCTTCTCTCTTCTTCAGTGCCAATTGTGCCACCACCATTAGGTGAAAACCCTGCTCACCTCACTTTATGACCACATCAAAAGTTCATTATGCGCTCAAAAAACATAAAACACTGCTCCAGGTCGGTTCCTCTTCCACTACCATACACACACTAAATCCCAGGTGCTAGTCCTGTCCGCAGCAGACTCCAATATACAAACAAACATTGATGGCCGCATATCCAGTAAAATCACTTTTATTTCTTCTTATAGCATATTCCACAAACATGACAGGGATACAGGACTTCAGTAGGCCCTGAGGAAGCCCGAATCTGGGGCGTAACACGTATAGGTGGAAGGAGCTGAGCCCTAGAAATTTTAAACAGATGACCATCTGGGAGAGCGGGGTGGTGAGTGATGTAATGAAATTATACATTACATGCTGGCTTGTTTCTTACATTTTGTAAGTGTTTTTATTCTGGGTGCTAATATATAATTTTATAAATAGAGAGCACTATGGTTCCACTTTTCTGTTTTACATAATAGGTATTATATGAGAGCATCAGCTGGAGGAGTGTATACTGTGGCGGTGCCAGGAGAGGAGCTGCAGGAAGACCACAGAGGGTGTACACAAGTCTGTCCATATGTTGAGCGCATAATGACCTATTGATGAGGTCATAAAGTGAGGTGAGCAGGTTTTTCACCTAATGGTGGTGGCACGGCTGGCACTGAAGAAGAGAGAAGATTTATCTTATACACATTGAACAGTGGTGTTATAAGAGACTTTTTCATGGGACTTTAATTATTTTTTAATATTTATTTTTTAGGAGATATTAGTCTGTTGCGCTACACTTTATTGTTATTAATTTTGGTAAAGGTGTTGTGAAGTCACTAACAGTGTTTTATCAGCAACTAACAGTGTTTTATCAGCAACTATTTAGAGCATTATCATATTATTTTAGGGTTTGTTTTGCTGATGGAGTAGGGGTTTAGATTTTATTAGAAAATTGGTAAATTTTTTAAAAACTGAAGAAATATATGGAAGAGCTAGATTAACCACTTGCCTACCGAGCACTTATACCCCCTTCTTTACCAGGCCAATTTTCAGCTTTCAGCGCTGTCGCACTTTGATTGACAATTGCGCGGTCATGCAAGATTGTACCCATATGAAATTTTTAGCATTTTTTTCTCATAAATAGAGATTTCTTTTGGTGGTACTTAATCATTGCTGGGCACTTTACTTTTTGCGCTATAAACAAAAAATGCAAAAAATGTGAAAAAAAAATGTTTTCTTTGTTTCTATTATAAAATTTTTCAAACAGGTAATTTTTCTCCTTCACTGATGTGCGTTGATGAGGCAGCACTGATGGGCACTGATAGGCGGCACTGAAGGGCACTGATAGGCAGCACTGAAGGGCACTGATAGGCGGCACTGATAGGCAGCACTAATGAGGTGGCACGGATAGGCGGCACTGATAGGCAGTACTAATGAGGTGTCACGGATAGGCGGTACTGATGATGGGTACTGATAGGTGGCACTGACTGGCATCACTGCTGGGCACTGACTGGCGGCACTGCTAGGCATTGACTGGCGGCACCGCTAGGCATTGACTGGTGCAACTGCTGGGGACTGACTGACACAACAGCTGGGCACTGACTGCTGGCACTGACTGGCAGCACTGCATTGATGGGCACTGGTGGGTGGCACTGGTGGGCACACGTGGGTGGCACTGGTGGGCACAGGTAGGTGGCACTTCTGGGCACAGATCGGTGGCACTGCTGGGCACAGGTGGGTGCACTGGTGGGTGGCACCGCTGAGCACTGGTGGGCGGCACTGCTGGGCATAGGTGGACGGAACTGGTGGGTGGCACTGCTGGGCGCTGATCATCAGGGCACTGATCATCAGTGCCCTGATGATCGGTGCCAATCCCTGCTCTAACAACTGCTGATTCTCGGCAGTACTTTCCTCACGATCTGACAGCGTGAGGAAAGTGCAGCCGAAACCGGTAATTGCATTTCCCTGTGATCAGTGTGTCATTGGACACGGCTGATCACGTGGTAAAAGGCCGCTGTGATTGGCCTTTTACCATATCATGTGATCAGCTGTGTCCGTAGGACACAACGATTACAGAGATCGCGTTCTGGGGAGGACGTCATATGACGCCCTCCCAGAACTGGCCGGCCACAGTGTAGCCGTCATTCGGCTATCTGCAGTCGGCAACTGGTTAAATTTAATTATTTCTGTAATTGGCAGTCAGCTAAGCAAGTGAGAGAGAAAAGCAGCACCTGAAGAGAGGAATGGAGATCCATTATTAATGCTTGGTTCACATATGTGCGGGTGGTGCCTCTGCGGATCCGCACGCAAAATCCCATACAAAAGAATGTGAACCCGTGGGCGGGTGCCATTAGTTCTAATGGCACGCCGCCCACACTGGAAAACGCAACTGTAGTGGGAACCGAGGTTCCCGTGTGGGCTGCATTTTCAGAAGAAGTGCAAGGACTTCTTCCCTGCATGTCACGGGGCACAGATGAATGGGCTCTCGTGCCTGCGCAAAAAGCGTCCCGCACAGCCACATATTTGTGAACCAGGGCTTAGGCAGCAAATAGTGGTTAAAGAAGAACTATACTGCATCTGAGCACTACAAACCAAATATGTTATTTAATTCATTTTTAATATTCAAAGCAAACTCACTCATCCATCCATCCATGTCTCCTTGCTATATTTTGCTAAGAAATCACTTTGAAAACCACCCCCTAGCATTTCTGGATGTGGCCATATTGAGTAGGGGAAGATGATTTACGTAACATTTACTTCAAGGAATCCATATGCCCTTACCTCAGGCATGCAGGCAGGAGGGTGTGCTGAGAAAGCCCCTCCTGAAGACTCCTGGGATGCATGACATCATTTACCTAGGCAAGAAACCAGGAAGTAACTGAAGAAATGTAAAAAAAAGGGTC